ATGAGCGGCCACCTATGAGTGGGCACCTATGAGCGGGCATCTATGAGTGGGCACCTATGAGTGGGCACCTATGAGCGGGCACCTACTCTGTCAGGATAGAGAACAATTTGTTCTTCCATGATGGGGAGATGATGTTTTGGCCTTGAGCATGGAGTGGCCTTGGAGGGTAACCAGTCTTTCATGTGCAGCCTAGAACTAGGGAAGCCCATGGATTTTCCTCCCTACCTCCATTTCAAAAATCATCTTCCTTTTTTTTTCTCTTTTAACGTGTGTGTGTGCGCGTGCGCGTATGTGTGTGTGTGTGCATACACATGTACGTGTGCCTGTGTGCTTTCTACATCAAGCATCTTTCTTCTTTACTCTCCATCCTATACCGTGAGGCGGAATTCCTCACTCGAACCCAGACCTCACTGATTCTGCCAGCTTGCTCCGGAGACTCTGTCTCTGCCTCCCGAGTACTGGGATTACAGGTGGGCTTCCACACCTACCCATTGTTTGGTGAGCACTGGTGATCGGATTGTGGCAAGCACTGTACCTACTGATACATCTCCATGGCTACTCTTTGCCTCTTTTAAACTAGAGGTCATGCCAGATGACTCTGGGTTAAGCACTCACTGCCAGGACAGATGGCCCGAGTTAAATTCGGAAAGCCCACATGATGGAAGGAGAGAACCAACTCCCTCCCACAAGTTGTCCGCTGGCCTCTACGTGTGCTCTGCGGTGCATGCATGTGTATCCTCACACCACCTCCCATGCATGATCACACACACACACACACACACACACACACACACACACACACACAGGCACACACTCATGCATGCACATACACAGAGATATACACATACATTAATAAATAAATAAAAATAAAAAGTGGGGCAGATTTTATCCATGGTGACAGATACACATCCAAGTGTCCACACCTGTATGCACACTCCATAATGCTATGAATTGATATCATGGACACAAACGGTGTCCCCCAAGAGCTCATGTTGAGCTTGGACCTCTGTAAGCAGTGTTCAGAGGCGAGACTTTCGGAAGATGCTTAGATCCTAAAAATGTTAACTTCATCTGCAGATTAACCCACTGATGAATTCCCGATAAGCTAGGCTCTTGGGAGGCAGGACCAATTTGGAGGAAGGTCACTGTGGGTGCATCTTTAAGGGGTGTATCTTGTTGCCTTTCTCTCGGCTTCCTGTCCACTGTGAGGCAAACAGCTTTCCTTGAATGCTTTGGCTTTGCAAAGAGCCAGGGAGCCAGATGTGTATGGACCAAAACCTCTGAAAACAGGAGCCCAGACCAATCTTTCTCATGGAGTTCTCTACCTTGGGTAATCTGACCACAGCAACAAAAAGGTAGTGAACATAATTAATACTGGCTGGTTTCCAGTTCTTAAGCCATCTCTATATTCCTAAATGAGCCCACTTGGTCATGGCATTGTGTATACATAAATATATATGTTTATATCAACTACATAGACATATATTATTGGGTTTTATTTGCTAGGATGCTGCTTATAATTTCCTTTCTTGTAAAGTGTGTGCGTCAAGGTTTGGCATAAGCGTTTTGCTGGTTGCATAAAACTAGTTTGAGAGGAGTCTCTTGTTTCCTCAGAAGGGCTTCCTAAGATTGGTGCTGCTCTGTTATTGCTCAATTAAATTTACCTGCAAAACGATTAGTTATTGGCAATGTTGTAAAAACAGTTTCCTGTGTTTTCTCCCAAGAATTTTTATTGTTCAGGGTCTTACATTTAGGTCTCGGAGTCATTTGAAGTTAACTTTTGTATGTAATTTTTAGCAGGAGTCCAACTTAATTCTGAGCCATCTCTCTAGCCCCCATTTGCATTTGTTTAAATATTTATTATTATCATCATACTTATTTGATATATTTTATTTGATATACATTTTTTTGAGATAGAGTTTCTCTATGTAATCCTAGCTATTCTGGAACTTGCTTTGTAGACCAGGCTGGCCTCAAATTCATAGAGATCTGCCTGTCTCTGCTTCCCAAGTGCTAGGATTAAAGGCACACACCACCACCGCCTGGATATTTTTATTAGTTTTAATTATAGGTGTGTATGTGTGCTGTGTTGGATATGCGTGAGCAGGTGCTCATGGGAGCCTGAGGTGTCAGATCCCCGTGGAGCTAGAGTGACAGGCAGTTGTGAGCCACCCAGTGTAGGTGCTGGGAACTAATCTCAAGTCTTCTGAAAGAGCAGTAAGGGCTCTTAAACCTCTGAGCCATCTCTTAGCAGCATCCCCCCCCACCCCACCCAATGGTTGTATTTTCAAATGTTCATTTTCTTCTCCTGCACCTGGAACAATGGAATTTTTCTACGGCATTTACTGTGAGACCTGTCTGTGCTCCTAGAACCAAAATTCACACAAAGCAGGCGGTGTCCAGGTTAAGGGTACAGTTAGGGGTACAATGCTTTCATCTGGGCTTGATGCTCTAGACCCAGTGGTGGAGAGAGAATAGCAACATCCACAAGGCTTGGAGT